TCTAATCTCACTTAGCCTACGCACTATAAAAGAGGCTAAAATTATAAGATATCACCGGCTCGCCTAGGTAAAGCATTTATAGAAGGTGTCAGGGTGCGGGCTGGCAGGACGGTATGATAGGAGATGACTAGTAGAAACAGGTCATAAAAGATCAGATTCCAATTGACAGGTACAGGCAGGGGCAGGCTATTATACAAGACGTAGCTCCCAGAGCTACAACAGGATCTAGAACTGAAGTTCAGATAAACAGGTCGGAGATCACGTGCCGTGATCTTCCTCTTACTAAGCATCACGGTTCGCACCGTGACACCTGAATGCCTTTTAGGTAGTCCAAAACCTAGCTCGGGACTTTAATGGAGTTATTACCGCTGATATGATTCAGTAGCTGGCGCACGTCGTAGTTTGCATCTAATATACGCTCGTTGGTATTTTGTGTAGAGTTTTCGCGGCCCCCTGAAAGGGGCGGCCACGCGCTCCCCGGCAGCACCATGCTCGGACCAATATGTGATTGGTATCACGAGATGCAGCCAGAAGTTACAATTAACTTGCAGTTAAAATGGAGGCTGTAGCCCAAGGCGTTGTGGTGCAATTTCAAAAATCAGGTTCGCGCAAAGATATGTGTTTTTCGAGTGGGCCTGAGAAGTGAGACTTGGCACCCGCCAATCACACACCTGGACCCCCCGGGACCCCTCACCCCCATGATGGCCGGCTCACACGTCGGAGACAGCCGTTACCAACTGGCTACTCAACCCTCGCATTTGTGAATGCATGAACTGCAATCTGCGGAGAAGGATCTTTGTATAATAGAAACCATAGCATTGCACGTCCCAATACCCCATGGGAGGTCGCGGGAGCAAGCGAAAGCTTGCTCCCTGCCGGACGTTAATTAAATCTACCTACCTATCTACCTGAGAAGTGAGACAGGGATGAAACTACCTAGGCCTAAAAGCGCGGAAGTGAAAGAGCGAAAGAGGTATGGCCAAGTACACCGGAAATGAGAGACCTACCCAGAGAGCTTGACAAGGCACACACGATGCACCTCCCTGAGCGGGCGGCCCTGGTATTCGCATCTAGTTCCAACACTTGAAAAGTGGACCGGAGAGCCTCTTTCCGACCTTTTTTCTCCAGGATCGATGAAATTCTCTATCTTCCTTTTTACTATCTTTGAGGGATTCAAAAGCAGTCTCTAGCTATACGGGTCGTTGTACTGGACTAACCAATGGAGGGCCAATGAAAAGCAGCGTTGTATACTCATCATGACTTCACCCAGGGTCGTGGCAAGGATTAGGTCAAAGCCACGGAGCTTATCAGTATAAATCCAACTGCGCGAGTTCGGTTTCAGCTCCAATAGCCACTATCGGTACAAATTCTTGCAGAAGATTGCAACCACCTCCGAACGGGATTTCCTCAAAACACACATTGTAAGTTTTTAGACTTCGTGGTAGAACACTGGCTTATACCCTCTACTTCAACACTACATCGCTTCAGGATATCTTCTCGCTCTCCAAATCCACTGTTCGGTCAATAACCGCACACTCGAACCAAACTAAGCGCGATATCATAAAGATGAGCAACAGTGGCATTAACCGTCAAACAACTGCGGTGGCCGAAGACACCAGTTCCCAACCCATCCCTGACAACAGTGTCGGTGGCGGCGAAGGATGGGGCGACAGGCTATGGCTTGGTGGCAAAGAAGAAGGGTTAGGTCACAAAGTGGTACGTGATTGGGGCCCAGTCCAGCGTCTCCCAGCATACGTTGACGAGTCTGGCATCTCACCCCATAGGCTATTAATCCCCGATCAACGATGGGGGACTTTCTTGCTTTGCAAGATCAGAAGACGCGTGGGCAAAACAAGTTCATTCAGCGTGAGAACTTGGTTGATTCTAACGTTCAACCCATGAACGCTGAGGGAGAGCCAACTTGCGCGACTGAAGATCATAGTTTTATGACCCGGAAGGCCGGTGACCCAGATACTTATCCTGGATGGAGTACATTTAAGACCTTTTTTGGCATATGAGTTCTCCCTTGACAACTTTCAACATCATGAGAGATAACCGAATTTGATCTGTCGCAGAGCATAATCTTATCCCGTGTGAGATGAAGTTATAGAGGTCCTTGCTGAGTGCGTCTCAAACAGTGCACAAGTTGAAATAGGAATCTGGAGACCTACAACAGATGCACAGAGGAGGTTAGTTTTGCCTGGGGTTTGGCTCCCCATTACGCCCAAGTCCGATGTTGCAGGATATCGTTGAAACCCCGGGATTGAGCCCCCAGGACATCTACGTCCGAATAAAGAGAGGGACCTAGATGCACAAATCAAAAAGAATCGAATTCCATACACATTGTTGAACGTAGGATATCAGAAAAAGCCGCGAGAATGATAATTTGGATAGGCTTTTAAATGGCACAGACTTCGATACTTCCGTGTGTGTACTTGGATCAGCAACCTGCGGAACATTTTGCCCGTTTCCGTCTACTAGAACTCCTTTCACGAGTCTTGGGTCAAGTAGATCAAGAGAGGCACTATTTCCGAAGGAACGGTAAAACAGCGAGAGATACGTACAGCCAAAGAAAATGCGGACCTAGCGAACCGATGCTTAGAATAATGCAGATCGCTGCTGCATTGCCGATCATGCGCCAGAAGATCGCAGGCCAACGTCAGTTGTGCTTGGTGGCGATATGAACCCTTTGCTGATGAGTCGTGATCAACATGCTGCTTTCCATTTCTAACAAAGATAAAGATCCATTCTGCATGGTCGCGGACTGACTCAGTGCAATTTAACCATCACAGCCATCAATACTTCTGCCAGGAGGGAGGAAAACGGATGCGAGAGAGTTTCAACCCTTAAATTGAGGCAAGAACTCGAGTCCGAGATGCTGAAAGCTCATGTTTTACTTTGTATGTCTTGGCCTTCGATGGATTAATTCCATCTTTTTGGAAGGGGAATTGAAATTGGGTTGCAATTGGGATTATGGTATTTGAACGGAAACTACTCGACTTTAGTTTCCTTTCCACGTAGTCGATCACGAATAGCCACCACTTTCCCCAGGATCCGCCCTTTCAAAGTCTGCGTCCTAAGAGCGATGGCCTCATCTAGAGAGACAACTCGTCGAACCAGGATGTTGAAGATAGTTCCAAATGCAAGGGCAATGACGGTGCTAGTGAGAATGATCACATTGTATGGCATGCTGAAATCCGGGGTGGGGAGTTGAAGGAGCAGACTCGTGGAACGGATGTAAATCGGCGTGTTGTGGGCCTTATCCAAGACCCGAATTACTGCAGGTGCAACGTTGAACCCTCGATTAGCATCTGGTGGGTACTCGGTGTACCGAAGAATGGCTTTCTCAAAGTCGTAGGTCAACGTGACGGTTGATGCGGCCGGGAGAGACAGCACTAGTTCTAATTGGGTGCCACGCTCGCGATCAATGGCCGGTCGGTAGTATGTCTCTTTGATGATTTCAGAGGCTGGGACTTCGCGCAGAACTCCGTCATGCCCTGTGATTGTGGCGTGCAAGGTGTGTATGTAGGGTCGCAAGAACCACGGAAGAGACTCAAAATAGATAAAGTCAACTGCGCTGGTGTTTGATGGATTACCAAATATGATGCGCATTCCACCGCGCTCTTGACCGTGGCCAACGATAGTTCGCTCTGCATGCAAAACAGGCTCATCCAACGGAGCTTCAGTGTTCACTGACTGCTGTGGAATCGATAGATCAAAGGGAACCAACGGCGCCAATTGGAAACAGCGCGTAAAGCCATCCTCTTTCTTGATTTCATTAGCCCCTTTAGAGATGAGGACACCCCGTTCATGGGGCACCCGAAGGCAGACACTTTGATCGCTAGACCCATCGTAATTTGCAAGAGGACAAACGCCATTTAGACTTCGCCCAAAGACTTCTGCAAGACTCCACGCCTTGTTGTTCGCGTTCTCCAGCGGGTAACAGGTATCATCTGAATTGTAAGGCTTGGAAGTGTCACAAACCAGCTGGTCATTAGGTACAGGCCGGGGAATTGGGTTCGCTAGATCTAAATTAGCAATCTTGAGCCCAGAGTGCACGGGTAAATGATACGCACAACGAGAGCGCTTGGACCGGTCAATATCCAACACCATATCTACGGTTTGCTCGATCTGAACTACACATTCTCCGTCTGCAGAACAGACCGGTTGGATATCAACTGACATGCTTTGCCATGCGGCATCGAACAGTTTGTGCCCGTCAAATAATGAGGAGATTCCAGCCTTGCCTTTGCAAGGAAGCAGCTTCAAGAAAGGAGTCAAATTCTCTGTGCAAACTACCTCTCCAGGAAGCGTGCCATGCAAAAGGTGCAGTTGATCGGCGGCTGAGTGGTCCCCAGCTGGTTCAAAAGAAACCACAGGTCGAGTGGTCCGGGTAGAGTCCACGAAGTTCAGGGATGCGCAGAACAAGCCAGAGAGTGACTGCGTCAGGGTGATCCATTTGGCAAAAGCCCTAGGTAATTCAGCATGTTGTGCCTCTCGCGATATATTTCGAGTGAGGAGCATACTCTTCGTCACCTGGCGCATCAATCCACGCCCAAAGCTCGACGCCAGTGCCTCCTTCTTTACTGCCGTTCCATGGCCGTGAGCCCCAGCTTTCAGCATCCCATCTTCCCGTGGTGAATCGGAGGTGCAATTCTTTTGTATGAGCGTGTTGAAGGATTTGACCAAGGGCGCGAGGCAAATATCTAAAATGTTGTTGGTCGAATGACTGTTGTGATGTATTGCTTCGGAAGTTAAACGAAGCTAGTAAGGAGGATTGCGGGAGAGGTTGTAGGAGGAGATGCTCATGATAGTCCGACAATGCAAAGGCAGATGAGCTCCATAATGAGAGAATAAGCGCAACGAAAGGAAGCGAGAATAGTGAAAGGACCGTCATGACTTCATGCTTGCCGGAGCTTGGTCTTCGTCCATGCGGTTGTCACTGGTCAATTAGTAGGGGGTGTCGGCGAAATGATGGACATGTGTTGACCCTGTGGCCTAGAAAATCAGACTTAAGTAATCACCAAGTCAATAGAAAAGCTCCGCATCGAAAGAAAGATCAAAGCCAAACTCCAAGACCCCCGAGACGGCCATCTGGTCTTGGCCTGTTGGCTGCGGAGCCTCACCGCCTTCCTTGGCGCCAAAAGCATCAAAAACGCAAGACTTCGTCGTTTGCCGCCGATCAGCTCGTTGACACAATTTCGTCTTTCTTTTTCTTTACCAGCTTATTGGATACACCTTTAGCATGGCGGCAGAACAGAGAAAGCTGCTTGAGCAGCTCATGGGAGGTATGTTGCTCCTTTGATAACTCGCAAAATCTCCAAGCTCTAGCCTACCCCGACAAGTCTCCAATTTGAGCTAACATTACTTCTGTCGATAGCTGATCAGCTCATTGGAACTGGCGCACAGGGTCGCAATTCCCAGCTCTCAATCACAGACAACAAAGTTTGCCGTTCCTACATTGTTGGCACTTGCCCACACGACTTGTTTACCAACACCAAGCAAGACCTCGGACCTTGCCCGAAGGTTCATAGCGAAGGCTTGAAGACAGAATATGACACCGCAACTTCCTCGGAGAAGGCAAAATGGGGGTTTGAATTTGATTACTTGCGCGACATGCAGAAGTACATTGACGACTGTGACCGCCGAATCGACACTGCGCAGCGCCGACTGGAAAAGACGCCGGATGAGATTCGGCAGACAAATGACTTGGTATGTCTAGCATTACTTCTATCTTCGGTCCCCAAGGGGAGGGCCTCCGAAGGGCCCCGCTGACTTGTTGAATAGCTCAAACAAATTGCCGATCTTTCCAACACCATCAACTCCGGTCTCCAAGAAGTCTCGATTCTCGGCGAAACAGGCTCTGTGGCACTCGCCCTCAGTGAAATGCACAAAGTTCGCACCTCCAAGCACCAGAAGGAAAGTCTCGAGCGCGATCTCAAGAACCTTCAAGATACTTCTGGCCCATCCGGTCACCAGAAGTTGCAGGTCTGCGATGTTTGCGGTGCTTACTTGTCTCGCCTTGACAACGACCGCCGGCTGGCAGATCACTTTTTCGGAAAGATGCACATGGGATACTCAGACATGCGCAAGAACTGCAAGAAGCTAAGCATTGAGCTAAAGGGCCGGGCTCCTCCAGTTCGTCATCATGAAGAAGATGATAATCCTTACACCTCTGGTGGTCGCCCCGGTGCTGGTCGCGGTCCTCGGTATGGCGGCGGCGGTGGTGGTGGTGGCGGATATCGGCGCCGCGGAGGTGGTGGAAGATGGTGATCTTCGTTGACTTGTCTTCTTTCTTGAAGACTTGGGCTCTAGGCCCGTTGCATAGCGCAGGCGTTTTTACTTATTATCTCGTGGTATGATTCTCAGACGACGGCTAGGAAGGTCATAGGATAAGTGCTCAATATCCATTTCATTTTTTATTCGTGTCCTTGTCAACATCTCACAACAACGAAACTGTACTTGAACCGTGTGTACATTATTGAAATTTTTTTTCCCTCTCCTTATCTGATGGAATCGGGAGATTCCACTTCTACTACTCCGTAGGTAGTGCTACAATAGATAAAGAATACATAGAGCTACCGACAAAAATGAAATTCATCGACAAAGAATGCAAGACATGAACAGAGCATGTTTGCAATCTGGCTACAACAAAGAATAGGGCCAAACAAGCCCTAGGAGATACAAGCTAACACTAGCAGAAGCGGTCTCATTTTTGTAAATGGAAAACCAGGAGGCATAAAATTGAAAACATTTGGCGGTGGGTATTCCACTTTCCTAAAACAACCCCTTTTCCCAGCCCCGGAGACTTCAGTCCCGAACACCAGACTAGCATTGCGCAGCCTTGTAAAAGGAAAGACAAAAATGGATAAACTGTACAGGAAAAAGAATGGCTATCACGGGCATAGCTGCATTACACACCCTGCTGGGGCACGTGGCCGTTTGCTTGGGTCTCAAATAGAGCTTGCATTAAAGTATCATAATGAGTAGCGGCAGCTGGTTGGCGGGCCAGAATGTCGCGAACGACACCCAACTGCGCCATGTCCACGTTGGGTGCAGTCTTCAGAAGCTGCTGAATGGCAGGAGCATCAACTTGTGGGCCAAGGACTTGTACTGCGGCGGGGAGGCCGGTCAGACCAAGCTGGTGTTGAGGGGTGGCATGGGCTTGTTGCACAGGGGCCTGCTGGCCGTACACTGCGGGATTCAGGTTGAATCCACCGAAATGGGAGGGGGGAGTTGGCGCAATTCCAGCGCTGAACTGGGGCTGATGGGGAGTCGCTGCTGCGACTGTGGGGCTTGTAGAGAGTGGTGGCTCCTGGCTGGCCTGGTGGGATGGCGGTTGGACAGATGAAGGGTTGGACTCGCCAGTCTTGACGACAAAAACGGTAAGAAGCATGCGTTGAGTAATGGGTGCCTCCAGTGTGATGTTGTCTAGCAGCTCAATGAACTCGGGCATTGTCGTGGTGCCGATCTCCATTGGGACAATGTAGGTGTCTTTGACGGCGGGCAGCGGGTGCTTTCCAATGACACCATAACGCCCACGACTATGGAAGTACTCAAACATCTTGTCGAAACCTGCTCGATCCGTAGGCTGATCAGGACTGCTGATTGCTATCACAGACACATCGGTAGACTTGCTGAACTGAAGGCCGCATAGATAATCAGTTGCCCGTCGAATATCAATACGGCCATCGACAACCAATGTGGAGGGCGCCAGTTGACTCCATGGGATTCGCCCACTCAAGTCCGCGCCTCCCACATGCTTCGCGGAAGAGGAGAACTCGCCAATTGGAGGCATCGTTACCTTGCCGCGCCAGATGGCACCGTCGTCGTCAAAGTCTTTGGGCGAATAAGGGGGTGAATAAGGTTCATCGTCGCGCAAAAGCTGATCGATCTCAGCATCTGCTTGGACTCTGCCACTAGGCAATGGCTCGTAGATGGCGGGAGCCACTTCCGGGAAGACATGGTCATGGTGAGCACCCTCAGGTGATAGACCCCGAACATATTCATCTGTCTCTGTCTTCGCTTGCTGTAATCCCATCGGGCTAGTTGGGCCTTTGTTGGTTGGACTGCCATCCTCGGCCACGATGCGACGAGGTCCACGGGAGAAGACAGACTCGTTCGCGCTATGGTGCTCATCCTCGATCAATTCTTCACCTTTATGGGTGCGTCGAATCCGAGGACCTTCTTCCTGGACAATGATGTGATGCCTGTCTGCTTCTCGCTTGATTTCGGCGTCTTTTTGCTGTAGTTCTTCGCTGGCCATCTCCGCCGTTGTCATCTGAGACAACAACTTAGGGGAGAGACTACCTATGATCAGACGATCTCGCAGAGAAGCATTCTTCTTTACATTGAACATGATCGACCGTAATTGCGCCTTATATGATTCATTCGGCTCGCCTGACCGTCCGCAGATACTCTCATACATGGCATCCTCAATAGATAGAGCGAGTTGTTGTGCCAAGTCCTCCACTGACTGATTCACACGCAAGGTGAAGGAGCCTGCTTTCAGGGCTGCAGTAATCTGGTCTACAAACAACTTGATGAGGTGTGTGGCCACACTCTTGCGAGCAGGCATCAGCTCCTCCAGGGCTCCAATGGCAGGTGCCTCGAGGCTAGTGTCTGTCTTGATTTGAGGTGCAGTTGCCTCTGGGATAGCTGCAGGGGTAGACTGTGGGGATACCCGTTGTTGTTTGACCAGTGGTCCCTGATAGATAAACGAGTGAGCATCGTGGATGTGATGAAGGAGTGAAATGGAAGTATTTACATTTTCTGCCTCCACTGCCTCTTCGAGTTTGCGCTTGTTAGTGCTCGATCTCCGAGAATCAAAAGCATAGCCATTCTTCTCTGGCTCAGCCGAGACGGACACCGCCAAAACAGCGGGTGCAGGAGAACCACTGGGACCTGGTGTAGTGGATGGTGCAGTGCGAGCTGGTGTGCTAGCATCTGTCCGGCTCTCACTGGGTCTTCCTTTGCGGCCTCCTTTCTTGCCCTTTTTCCGCTTCGATTTTTTCTCCTCGGCCTCTTTGCGTCGATTCTCAGCAACATCTTCCCAGGGCTTCTCGCCCGCATTGATCTTTGCCAAGAGGGTTGTGTGATTTTCTGGTCGACATTGCTCGCAATAGTATTGATCTGGCTCTTGACCTTTCATGAATGTGAGGCCCATGCAGTCATTGTGTTGCCATGCTGAGCATTGGTCACAGCAGATCATATCGCGCTCCACATCCTCTTCCTCTTCATATTCACCGCAGATGCATCGGATGATCTCTTCTTCTTCTCTCTCCGCTTCGCTAGGACCGGGTGTAAGTTCGGCGGACAGCTTCGCGCTCTTTTCTTTTGGGCTTTTGCTTTTGCCTTTCTTCGCAGGATCATCTGGCAATTCGAGGTTCTTGTGTTGACCTTTGGTGGCTCGGCCGGAGCGGCGGGGTTCGTCTAATCTCGCTGTTAGCTGTGTTGTGGCAGGTGGTCCACAACCCGGACTTGGGGTTGCCCTTCCACTCTCAGGTGATTGGATAGCAATGTGTGTTGTGATGGTGTACGAAAGCTTACCGGCCATGATAATGGTGATTCGGCGCGTACTACAGCGCGTGGCAGGATAATAGGTCTCTTGACTTGCTCGAAATTCAGGTGTTACCCAGGCTGACAAAAGTCTCTACGGGCTCAAGGCGCTAATGTAATACACAAGAAGACGGCACAACAGCGTCACTGTCTAGCCCACGGATTTGCTTGATCGAATAGAAGAATCGATCTAGTCTCTGCGGAGTGTTTCTTGGAGTGACGCGCGGTGGTGAAGACACGCGCTCAAGCAAGTGATATGGTGGACTGTGCAATCCCTTGGTGCGCGTCAAATCGACACTTGGCGCTAAGCGGGGTCGCGTGAAGTGACTTGAGCGCAAA